AACAGCTTGAAGATTCATTGAGTTTAAAGATCGAAAAGAACACAAAAGGGTTTTCAATCTGCGACACGAAATTTCGTCTCTTTTTTGTCTTGAATTTGAGATTTTTGTTTGTTCGTTTTCCAGATATTTTGCCAGAAACCAATGCTCGCCACTCACTTCACATTTGGGCTTTGGCCAATGAACCTCTAAGAGACTCTCAACCATTGGATAAATCTCATCTCCTAACCGGAAAGAACCAGAATTGGAGCTAATCCGGTTAACACTTGTTTTTTTTTTGCCGTCAAAGGTTTTTCATTCACAGACACGTGGCCAATGCGTGTAAACACAGAGATGATGGTAACAGAGCTCATCGCCGTGAAGTCCGACGCCTGTTGAACCCACCACCGCGATGCTCCGACAAGGATCCCGTTGATGAAATCCGGTTAACAGTTGTAAGTCATCGAATATATTTTCTTTTTTTCTTTTATGTTGACGCAACTATTTATCAGACTAGTATTTTGTGTCATAACAATGAAAGATATTTCATTATATCAATTGTAGTCAGAGTTGCGATAYTTTTTTTCTAAAAATTTGTTATTTTTGCAATTCACAATTTCGTTTTCTTTGGCTGTACATGATAAAACGATATGAAAATGTTGTATGTTACTCTGTCCAATAATCCAAATAACTTCATTTACTATATTTTTTTTCGTTCTTTTCTTACAAATCATTCATCAAATTTTCACGTGTTTGGAAAATAATTTTCCTATATATATATATTACGAATTCATGTAAACATTATAATTTGAAAAGTTAAACTTCATTAAATCTACTAAACTAGTAGTTATTAGCGTTTTATGATTATAATGTGAACATTCTATTATTTTCTGTTATCCTTACTCAACGCCATGTTCAAGTATCATCAGCTAGCATGCCATTTGATGTTGGCAATGAAATTGTTCATTCACTACAAAAAAAAAAGGTTGTTTTACGTCATTTATTTTATGTATTTGCATTAGTAAAATAATTAATTTTGCATCACTTAAAAAGGTGATTGTAAAAGTGGTGATACAAATACTTACAACAGTTTAAAAAATTGTTGCAAATATTCACATCAGTTTTTGAAATCGATATTAACATGTATCAATTGCCAAAAAATGATGATAAAATTTACATCAATAAATATTTGCTACGATTTAATATTGATGCCAA